CTGAACATTCTGATTTACAGCTATTTCTGTGAAGTCCCATGCTCAATTCACAGCTATCAGGAGCAAAAACTTGTTGCTTTTAGGATTGTAAGTATGGAGGCTAAGCCAGTGGGGACAAATGTGGTGCTTCTGGCTGAAGTACAGAACCTGAACAGGACAGAGCATCATCAGAGGTGAGTGAGAACACGAACGTTGTGAAAGAAAACACACATAGGATGTTCTGCTAGAGTTTCAGTCTTTCCATTCCTGTTTTTTTGCACTGCCAAAAGGAGAAATATTGATAAATTTATCTTTTCATCCAGCATGCTGTCTCTGCACCATTTGGAATTCAGACTTCGGGGAAGATAAAGGAAACAAAACCTTCATTTCCCACTCTGCTATTTCACCTATAGTGCTTCATGTTTCTCCTGGCATTATGCTTGCAAAGGTGTTCCTATGCTATGTTAGCTTAATTACAACACCAGCAAGCCAAGCCCAACAATTCAGAGAAGAAATAGTCTGACAATTTTACCATAGCTAGGAAGGTATAATTAAAGCAATCACATAATTAACATTTTCCTCAGCTAGTTATTGTTTTATTACAGCTGACAGTATAGAACAAATGGAAGTTACTTAGACTGGCATTGCTGCTGAGGTGTCTGTGGGAAACCTCAACAGAGCACCCAAAAATATCATCTAGGTAGCATTCACACAGCAGTGGATCGTTACTCTGTTGGCTTTAACAGTCATTTCTTTGTGGATTGGCACACGCATTACTTCAGCCTAAGGAAAGCTTTTCCTCCACATCCACAATTGGCCATAACTGCTGTTAATGTGGCTGATCTTTCCAGCCTGCTGTAACAACCTCTGGTTTTTCTCTTTCTTGCATGGTGGGACTCCAAATTGGCAGAGTATTCCAGGTGTGCCCTGGCAGGTGCTGAGTGGCAGGGAATAGTCACATCATTTGTTTTACCTCTCACAGCTGAGAAAGTGGGGTTACGTGGCAAAGACTTTAACACAAATTCAGGTCCAGGAATAGGAGGCGGACACATCTGGCTTCGAATAATAACGTTAATGGTACAGTGATGCTGTGAAACATTGCCTGGGGATCTGAAAGAACTGTATGGAGCTGAGGACTACAGAGTAAACAAACAGGATTCTCAGGCAACCTGCAGTCTAAAGGAAAGGATAAAAATCTTCTAACAACATCATGTATGCTGAGCTTCCCTTTAACGTTTTGATAATGCCAGTGGAGTAAAAAAAGACTGGTGATGATAATGTAGCTGACCAAATAAATACAGGCTGCAGCAAAGCTAGCAAGCTAGCAAATACTGGGCAAAGCTGTCAGCTGTGTAGCAGGTAAAAGGGCAGCAGGCACAGCTGGGAAGGTCACTGAAGGGCAAAGTTCTAATAGAGTATTTTAGAATTACATATTTCTAACAAAGGGAATAGATTCCTGTTATTTTTTCCATGATGCATACGTGGAAATGGAGCAGTATGTAAATAAGGAAGAGAGCACTGAGATCACCTAATTACTCCTCTTAGCACAGATGTCCTTAGGAGACCGTGAACTGTGACCAAATGTGCAACACTGTTTTTCTCTCTGCTTTGGGCATTCAAGGTCTTTTCTTCATTCCTCGTTCATGAAAATTGGGAATATCTTCAGCAAGTGTGGTGTACTTAGAACAGAAGTGAGATCAGAAAACAGGAAAAGTCAGTGTCTTGCCCAGAGTCACAGAGCTAGCTGAAGTAGGCTCAGGAGTAAAGGCCTCCCAATCCCAACCTGGGTTTTGTAAAAAATAAATATCCAATCAAAGAAAGAACTGAAAATAGACATGCTTTCTAAAAATCAGTGATGAGAAGCGTGTGGTTGGAAGAGAAAGGCTGATTACAAGCTTCAACAGCAGAGGGGTTTCCTATCAATAAGGAGAAACACTGCAGCAGGTCTACAAATGCCATTAGTATTAATTGGTTTTAAAAAATGTTATTTATACAAATTCCTGTATATTAATTCAAAGCACCTGAAGTACCACCGTGTCACAGGAGAGGGCATGCTGTGCTCACAAGGACATATCTGTTCCTCTCCAGTGATGAGAATCAACATAGAGAAAATGAATAAAGCAACTCAGAGACTTAATAAACAGGAGATTTTCAAGTACTTTTTTGTTTAATAGCACAGCATATAACCCAGTTCCAATTTCAAACGCTCTGGGGTTACATCTCTGCCCCGATCACATCTGTGCTCTTCTCGCCTCTGTTTCCACGCTCATGCTCAGCACTGAACGTAATTATGAATGCCAGTCACTTGTTTAAACAAATGCTTTGTTTGGCAACCTTTGTTTTCCTACTGCTTATGCAGCTGCAAAATTGTGTGCACAGTGTGTTAATTTTTTACCTCTGACCCTATGGTAAGGTTTTTCTTCTAATGAAAAGAAAAAGAAACCAATGAACGAGATACCAATCTGTTTTTGATCTACACAAAACACGTCTAAAAGCAGCAGCTTCCTTGGGAAACAAAAGCAAGTGAATGCTGATAAGAAGGTAAAATAAGCCAGATATTTCCTGGAACCAAATGATTTTTCATAATGAGATGGAGAAAAACTTAGCATACACATAAAGTGGAAGAGAAAGTCTGAAAAATAAGGATGAAAAGGTGAGGAATTAAAACAATGAGGAAATATCTAGTTTATTCCATTTGGGAGAATAAGCCAGCAGGGCAGCAAGAGGTATTTCCTTCTATAAAATTAAAAAATAAGAATGATGATTTGCTCCTCAGCTCCATACAGTTCTTTCAGATCCCCAGGCAAAAAATACGATGTTCTTATTCATTTTTATGGGAAGAGGGGGTGCCTGGAACAGGAGCTGATTTGACAAAGGCACTCAAACAAGTTACAGTGGGTTAAACATGGGATAGAACGGCGCATCTGCTTCTTCCTGGTGCTGGCTTATGAGCAGTCTCTTACCTCGTGGTAAAGTAAAGCCCTCATTTGCTTAGAGGATACACGCTGCATTTCAATACATCATTGCATTCAGGTGAGCACATTTTTGAAAGCTCATAAAGCTGAGGGGATTTTGTGAAGCAAAATAAAGACTAAGCACCAAAATTGGTCCTGATTTAAGCACTGAGAAGGTGCCAAGTTGCTGTATTACTTTTATTGTGTTGCTATTTCTGATCAAAGATGTAGACATTAGCTGGATCCTGCCTTAATTTCCTCTGTTACTTTGATGGCTGCAGGTGAATAATATGTGGATGCGTTGTTTTAGCTGAAAAGTGATTTGCTGGCCTTGCAGAGGGGAGCGGGATCTCACCTCCTCAGCAGAACCTGAGTTAATAATCTCTGGGAGGGAATGCACTGATGAGAAAACAGGAGGGCTGTTAGGATGGATTTACGTTTTGATAGCAAAGGATTTTACTGGCAGCTCTGCACAGCAGGTACTGCATACTGCATACTGGTATTTATTTTTACCATTGTTTTTCTAGCAGGGGCAGAATGGTTGCTTGAGTTTGCCAAGTCTGGTACAGGGCAACTCTGTGCAGCAAAGCATGAAATAATCCTATGTGAAAAGTCAGTTTATAAGTAGTTTAACCTCTGAACTTCCTAATCTGCTTGTGAAAGAAAAGAACACACTAAATAAATCCATGGATTCAGCTGAGCATTTGCAAATCTGGAAGCAGAAGCAAGGCTTTTTGTAAGTACCAATTGTTAATTTCCAGGCTTCTAATGACTCTTTAACACTGGAAGCGGTGGTTTAAGAAGTGAGTACTATCACTTCCAAAGAAAGGTACAGTGCATATGCCTCATCAACATAAATTTCTCTGTTTGAAAGGCGAAACAAATGGGTTCTGTTCCGATTCTCCCCATAGCTCCCAGACAGCTGAGCAGGAGGAACTGCTGCTTCCCTGGGGTCTGAAACACTTTAGGAAACTGGAGCTGTTGTGGCTTGGACCATTTATGTTCACACAGATACACAAGTCATGCAGAAGGCACCTCAACATGGAACACCATGAGTTTATGGGGCCTGAGAGCAGCACTTTGACCCAGCAGCTACAGCAGTGACTCCAAACCATCTGGTCATAAGTCTGGTGTATCAGAATGCATTCAATCACATACTGTGACAATGCAGAGTAGATTTAAGCTTCTTGTTTGAAGCATGAAAGCCAGTGCCGGCTGTGCTGGGGCTGAGAAATGGCATCTGGTGACAACATAATGATCTTTTCTTCTTTAAGAGCTTGCACTCTTCCTCCATTCTGCGCTCACATCGGGAGCAGGGAGGAGGCAACAGAGGAATCGCTCCGGAGTGCTATTTTAGTTCATTTCCACTTGCTCTCTGTGCAGGGTGACATTTTTCTCCTTAATGCGACAGCTCACATTCAGATCATCCCATTTCAGTGACACGTGTGCTCAGGATCTGTTTAATCAGGGATTTAATAGGAGGGAGTAGAGGAAGGCAGAGTGTGACTGCGCTGAGATGCCTTTAATGTGCTCACTCACAGCTACTTCGCTCAGAAAAGCGATACAAAAAAAGGAGACGTGACATTGCCATTTGGAACAGCCCTGAGATAGGGCCGGAATCCCCTCACGGAGCTCAGAGCAGTGACAGGGCCGGGTGGTGTCACAGAACAGCAGTGACATGAGGTTGAGATGAGGACATCACATAGGTGTGTGCGCCTACGCGCGCCCCGGCGGTGCCGTGCGCGGACTGCAACTCCCAGAGTGCACCGCTCCAGCCGGTCGTACTACAGGTCCCGGCCTGCTCGACGGGGGCGGCGCCCAAGCGCGGGCGCGCTGCCCTCTGGGAGTTATAGTCTCTCCCAGCGGCGCGGCCGCGAAGGGCGGTTGCGAGGCCGAGTCTTCTGTGCGCCTGCGCGGGCGCTCGAGGCGGGCGGGGGCCGAGCGGGCGCAGCGCGGTGGCGCGTGCGCGCTGAGGAGACGGAGATCTCTCGCGAGGAAGGACGCCATTATCGCAGCCGCCCGACAAACACCACGAGAATTCGGCACCGCACACGGTAACCGCGGCGCCCCGCGGCCGGACGGCTGGGGCCGAGCTCCCGGGGGGCCTCAGGCCGGGCGTAGAGCCCCGCTTCTCTCAGCGTTCCCGTTCCTCACAGCGCAGGCAGAGCAGCCGGGCCGCGAGGCGGCGGCTCCGGGGAGGGGCGTGAGGCGGGGGGGCCGCGGGCTCGCAGGCGGGGAGCGAGAGAGCGAGCGAGGGGGGGCGGCCGGGGCCTCGCCTCCTCCTCCACCGCCTCCTGCGGCCGCGGGGCTCCGGAGCTGGGCCGTGCGCTCTGCCCGCCCTGCGACGCCTCGCTCCGGGCCGGGGGGCTCCGCGTGTGCGGCCCCTCCGCTCGGCAGCGGCCTTCCCCGTTTCCCTTTCGTAAGGTCGTGGGATGGATGGGTGTATGGCCGAGCTGTCGCAGCCCCTCCCCCCTCCTCCTTCCCTATCGCGACAAATTGACGCTGAGGGGGCTGCAGCGGAACCCCCTGTGGCTGCGTTACTGTGCACAGTAAAGCTTTTCCACATCTGCACCCGGTCTGCTGCTCAGTTTGGGGGTGGGTGGCACACCCTTCTTCATGTGTTTTCTTCCCTTCGTCCTTATCTGTAATGTAAAACAAACAAACAACAGACAACAACCACGGGAGTGTTTTAAGGAGTCCTGCAATCCTTGGGCTGTGGGAAGTTATGCACTGCGCTGAAGGCCGTGCTTATAAAAGCTGTGGGTATGGTTTATTTATAGGTTTATTTTTAGAGCTCTCTGGGGACAAAAAAAAAAAAAATCCCAGGGAAACAAGTTGGGAGGGGGTATAGCAGCAGAGGGATTGCTTATCCTAGAATGGCCTGGGTTGCAAAGCACCACAATGTTTATCCAGTTCCAACCCCCGCTATGTGCAGGGTCACCAACCAGCAGCCCAGGCTGCCCAGAGCCACATCCAGCCTGGATTGCTTCCATTGGAGCAGCTTGTAACATCTTGTAAAGTAGTAGCTTGGAGCATTCATTGTAAAACAATCCTTTGGGTTTTTTTTTTGTTTTTTACTTGTTTTCCTTCCGTGTTAGGTTACCTTGGGTATAGCACCCTATTGACTGATGTCAAGGAGCAAACATACCATTTGTCTGTAGGGTTTTGGCTGCTCACCCAAGATCTTAACGTACGGCTAAACCACCCCTGCTTGTTTTCATATCACAGCGGTGCCTCCTGAAACAATGGCTTGATGTGGGTGGGGAGAGTTTGTGCACCTGTGAATGGCTGTCTGTGGGAACTGACCAGAATAACAAATACGCCGTGCTGAAACTGGACTCTGTGCATTCAGTGCTCCTTGGCAGTAGTTCAGTTTTCAGTACTACGTGCTAGGGAGGAAGACTTTTTATTTAAGAGAGTGAAAGATGGTGTTGGGATTTTGGAAGCGTTAGCAGTCCATCTGCTCGAGAGGATGAAAATATTTTGCAACTATTTTTCTTTGTTTTTAATTTATCATCTGTTACGCTGTAACAGAAACTGGCTTTAATGACTTAATTATCCAGCTACGGCTGTGTGAATATGGAACAGGTTTAAAGCTGTATGGCTCTTTAGAATGAGTATTCGGGCATATCAGAGGTAGCACAGTGCAGACTGTCACTGTTGGTAGCAGACAGGATTCCATCAGCTGTTCTGCTGAATGTGTGTCATTAAGGCTTGTTCCCTGCCCTTTCTGGTTGTAGCACAGCACCACCGACGCTTTTTCTGCTGTTCTACACAGATGAGGTGAAGGAAGTTGAGCTTTGTGATTCTGTGTACCTCCTGCAAGGGCTGCTTACAGTTTTACCCCCACCTGGCAGAGCAGTGCTCTGTTGTGGGATCATTGCAGTCCCAGGCTCACGTTTCAAGCATTTTACCTCATCTCTGGTTTTTATCTTCAGCTTTTCACTGACCTTTAAAGCACTGTTTGTGCAGGAAGAATACATCTTTATGTTTTCAGAATTTGAATGCCTTCGTATCTTTCACTGAAGAATGGCTTGATTTGAGATTTCCTCCTTAGGAAGTAAATTAAAGGCACTTTGATTACAGTCATTTTAAAAGGAAGGGAAGGGGCATTTCATTTTTGTAGAGGAGGCAGTGTGTGCCAAACAACTCAAACAACAGGATGTCTGAGAGTACTGAACTTCAAACGCTTTCCTTCCACAGGTCTGATTTGCTTGAGTTTGAAACTTGGTCTTTAGTTATTGAAGTAATTTTGTTTTATTTTATTTTTAAACATATTCATTAAATGTTAAGTGGTGCTGCTTCAAGTAAAAATAAAAATAAATTAAAATGCCTTAAAAGTTTGCCTAAAACACTTATTTCCTTGCAGTTGTAGCTCTTGAAAAAGGTGCTGTCAAGTGCTTAGTTTTGTCTCCCACTTGTTAGACTGCATGTTATGTGCAAACGTACACACAGAGGTGAACTGGATAAAATCCTTTGCGTTTGGGACCTTAAATAAAGTAATTTATGATGATATCTGTTGGACAAAATTCTTTCATCTCATTTCCTGTTTGTAAAAGCATGACTGGAAGGGGGAAGCCCTGACTGCTCGAGGGAAGCATACATTACATTCAGATTAATCCATATCTTAGGATGAAGACAGAATGCCCATCTTCCGCCCTGTGGTGTGGATTCATAGGAACTGTGAAGAAAAGCACTCCTTACAAACACAGCTGTGCCTGCTACATGTATCAACTCTACCCTCATACCTAGATATACTCTTGCAAGCTTGAGCTGGAATCACTTCTTTTCTGGAGGAGGGAGGGATGATGGCAAAACAGGTTCAGACTGTACTGTGAGGTATTTCAGAAGAGCGCAGGATCTGTGTTTTTCTTCTGGTGATGCTCTTCAGATTTTAATATATTTTTTTTGGTAAGAATTCACAAACATTATCTCTGGGTTTTACAGCAGCACTGAGGTCTGTTTCAGGAGCTTGGATGCTTTTTAGGTATTTGCAGGTGGTAAATCTGTGAGACTACTGAGCAAGCAGGTGGCTTGTTTTGCCATAGATCTGATGTTGGCTGCTGTGCTTTTTGATAGTAGGCACCTGTAGCAGCATGGTTGGTTGCTTTTGTTTTTTTTCCTGGATCAGTTTTTTTTCCAATATATAGGAGATGAGCACATGGTTGGAAAAATACAAAGTTGTGTTCTTCCCTTTTGCTGTAAACTTCCTGTTTGAGGTAAGCCAAGCACGAAGGAATGAAGCATTTGCACAGGTCTCCTTTGAACCTCAGCCAGATGTCAGGTATTTACAGGCTGAAGTGAGATCTTGGTTGTGTGCATTGCAGAGCACAGATGAGCTGCCTGCTGGCCCTGCAGTGTTGGGACTGAGCAGCCTTCAAGGCAAAGCCTATAAATGCTGTAGCCAAGTCAGTTTGCAAAGGGAAAGCGAAGCTTTCTAGCACTTCCAGTCTGAATCCTTGTGGCATTGAAAAGGCTGCACTAAACAGGCGATCTGATGATATTAAGGAATGAGGCCAGGTTCAAATATGACACTTGTTCCCTCAGCCTGCCTCTCCGTTTATTTCCTGTCTCTCCAGAGAAGCTGGCTATAACCTGGTGAGTTCTCATGATGGAAGATACATTCTGGCTCAGTATGTGTGCTCCACGGCGCAGCCCTGTGCTGTACACCTGGTGCCTTGGCATGAGCACAGCAGCAGCCCAGCACGTGGAACAGCTTAGCAGATGGAAGTGGCTTCCCAACAGTGCTGTCTGTTGACAGAACAGCATGGGACATGGCTTCTTTTTGGGTTTCACCAAAGGGATTTCCATCGAGCAGGGCAGTGTTAGCCCAACATGGGTGTTTCTCACTAGTTGTGCATGGCTGGAGTGCAGGTGTGCTTTGCCTCATGCAGGGCTCTTGTTTCATCTGAGCAGCGAGATGTTCTGATTCTTTCTGCTCAAACAACGTGGATGTTGTTAAACTAGAAGCTGGCTGCCAGGTCTTTTCTGGTTTGAGACACCTGCTTACTGCTATGGTTTCAGTAGTGTCTTCTATTCAGAGCAAAGAATATCCTCCAAGATTTCTTGTGAATAATGCAAATAACTGCACTGAATTAAATAAACCTCATTATTCCAGTGGTCACTGAAAGACTGATACGCTGAGATACTCTTCAGTCAGCTGTTCTCTTGAGTACAGGGAATTATTTATTTATGATGCAAAGTCACTTTGTGATACTGAAGCAACTGGAGAATGGAATGGGAAAACTGGGTGTTTGGGGACATAAACTGAGAACTGTGCTTAAAAACTGTGCTTTCCTTAAAATCCATTTCCCATTTTTTGATCTTGACTCTGTAAGTGGTCTTGTAAGAGGGAAATGGTTTTAAGTAACGCAAGTTGACAGGTATTATTGAAAATCCTTTGCACAGTAGAATAGAATGAAGGTATGAAGCAGGAAGGAAGCTTCGGCGGTGCTTCCTGACTATTGCAGAGGTTGCTGGAGTTGCCTTAGGAACACATACAAACCCTCTGCATGGATATAGATCACACTGTAGGTGGTCGCTCCTGGGAAGCTCTCCTTTGTTCAGTTGGAGCAACTGTTGTCATTCAGAGCTTTTCTTCACCCCCTCCTCTCTTGGCAGCATCTGACAGCTTTTTTACAGCTGTTATTTTTGGTTGCCACCATGTTGTTATGCTGTTTATTTCCCACTTTCCAAAGGGGATTTGAATATTAAATTGCCATGTGTTGAAATATTTCTTCATAAGCTCCTTGCCGTTTCTAAGTAACAACACTGTAAGGTTCTGGCTGGAGCATGGCAATGGTTTTTTCATACTTAAATGACACTAAAAGAAGAGATCCAAATGGGTCCCATCTCATGTTTGTTTCTATTTCCTCGTTAGAAGTCCACCTATGCCTTTCTGTGACCTTTTGCTCATCAGGTAGTAATTATTTTAGTTTCTTTATTGGATTGCTTTGCATATGTGTATTCTAAAGCTGGGTTTCCATGTTTTTTATGCTGTTAGTTTTACCATTTGACTGTTACTGTAAGTATGTATAGACCTGTGGGCTATCGC